GATACCTATTCCTTACTCGAGAATATTTGATTGAAATTTCATTTTTCTATTTTCGATTTAAAAAAAAAAGTGGAAATTAAAAATTGAATCGAAAAAAAGAATCAAAAATTAACGAAGTAAAGTTTTATCCACAAGCTGTTAATAATAATTCTCAAGATTTCTCTCCCGAAATTAGATTCGAAAATTTCTCTCCCGAAATTTATCATTTTTCATTCGCAAAATTGCGCAGCAATTCCACCGAAATTTGCGAAGTATCGTTAAATCCCCAACGGATTCCTTTTCGTTGGTCGGGTACCTCGAGCTTAACTAGCTCAGAGGTAAATGTTGTACATTAAAATGATATAAACCTGGCTAGTGGGATAGCAAAAGCAAGCACGGAAACCGCAATGTTTCCCAAGCATCCGGTTAGCTGGTCCAACAATATGAATATTATCAAAGGTACAAAGAACAAATTGTTACAATATCGTCGATCAAATTTGAATGGCTACAATCTTGGCGAAACTATCTTCTTGTTCTATTATATATCGGGGAAAAGAAGAGGAGAAACAATGTTGCCATCGGTTACCCGATATCGTACGAAACCTCGTCGACTTGTCCCCGATATTTTCGTTGGAAATTCGAAACGAAGCCTCGTGTCACGGCTGTGTATCGGGGAACGTTGGCTTCGAATGACAGACAGCGTAAGCCGAAAGGAAAGTTTCGGAGAGACGGGAGAGACAATCTCGAAGCGAAGACCGAATTTTTTGACGTTTAATATTCGCCTCGAAACGATCGATTCTTGACCGATGGTCTAATGCAAAATTTATTTTAATATGTGATCCTTTATTTCACGAGTCCGTAATTTAAATATTGTATCGGTTTTCGATATTTTTCTTTCTTTTTTCTTTTTTTTAGAATTATAATTAGAAAATTAAACCGTGATCTAGAATCTGGTAAAAATTATAATTTATAAAAAAATTAATATTGTCGTTTATTATGGAAAGGAAGCAAAGATAAATAATTTTTTTATAAATTTAAAATGAAGTTGATTCATTTTTTTCTCCTATGTGAAACATAATGGGAAAATAACATTTATGTTGAACAAATGAAAGAAGAATGGTCGCTCCCAATGAAGAGGCAAGAATCGAATCAACCAAAAATCAAATTCGAAGGAAAAAAAAGGAAATGAGAATCGCCTCACATTATTATCAATATCCAATTACTCTGCCAATTACTCTTCATCGACAAATCAATCCTCTTTGAACAAAGAATCCCTTTAATACTTGCAAAGCTCACAAACCAATTGGCAAACATGAGTAACATCCATTCTATCAACACGAGTGTTAAACTATTGACAGACGCAAGTCACGTATGGTGTGTTTCCCGCCAGTTCTCAATGAACGTTTTCACAGAAAAAGAGAGAGAGAGTGTGATAAATAGAGAGTAAGAGAGAGAAGATCTAATTTTAAGGGAGAGAAAACATGCACAGAGATCCTCCTGCAAACGAATGAGAACAAAATCCGCGTATTCGTAGCGGCGAATGGTTGGATTCGAGCCTAACAGCCCGTTGACCTTTCAGCACCTGTTGATTGTCGTTTATCAACGATTTGCATGCGCAGATTTGCCGGGATCACCTGACTGCTCGGCGAAACGAAAGGGTTGTCCTCGAGGGGCGCGTTGATCGACGTAGCAATCCCTCTAGAATCGTGATGCATCGTTGTCCCGTGGCGTAGCGCCGCTCGAATTTATTGATTTTCGATTCGCGGTCACCACTTCCCTTGTGTCTCAGTTTTTGCGTTTCCTTTTTGTTTCGCTCTTTGCATCGCGAATGACGAATTGAATTTTTAATTCGGGATCTAATTGAAACAATTTGAAGAGATTAAAATAAAAACAAATTCATGAAAAAATTATTGTCAAATATTCAATTGAAGCGAGGGAGTTCCAATTATTATGTATTTGAAACAACGGCTTATAGTTAAAATTTTCGAACAGTGTAGAATAATGTTTAAGCGAGTGTTGAAAGATATTATGATCTAAACTATGGTTTTGAATTGCATGTAACTGGGTAGAGATGTTAACTGGCGACAAGTGTTCATCGTTTGACTAACGAGTGGAGGGATAACAATAGAACGGAGAGAAGTTGACGACGATTAATAGATTCGTTCGATACAAAGGGAGATTAATCTCTTTCCTTTGAACGGTATTCCCAATGGTGCGGAATTCACTCATGCGATGATGATTTTTCAGTGATAAAAATAGATCGGTTCAAAGATTAGTTCTATTTTTTTCCTTCGAGATCTGGATTTTAATTACATTTTAAAAAGCATATTTCGTGTCTCGAAATTTGGGAACCGACAAAGTTGTTACGTTACTCGGTCGAGATTATTCAAGAAGTTTGATATTAATTATAATTATAAAATCAAATTTATTTTTTGTAGAAAAGATTGATAGATTGCGGATTTTTATATTAACATATATATCTTTTATAAAGAATCATATATAATCATATTGCCGGAAAAGATTTTTCTTTATAGAACACATGATTCAAAAATCCAATTTATTTCAGGCACTTATTACAATTTTGAAATCAATTTCTCGTGTTACTAACTTATTTCAAACTTCAGACAAACGTGAAGGACGTAATATGCATTTCCAGAATAAAATGTAAATCAGATCCATTCATAATCTTTACGCTGTCTTAAATATTATGCTTACTTTGAGTCCTTGTATCTTGATTGAGATACTGGGATGAATCGAAAAGTGATTTCAATGACATGACTTTTTCTGAATGAATTTCGATCACAAAATTTTAGTTTCATCTCACGAAAAGTTAAAGTTTTATATTTAATATAAATATTGTATGTACAAATTTAAATTTATTTAATAATAAAAATATTGCACAAAGTAGCATGCAACTAGTCCATTTATATTAAATTTTATGTGCAATAATTAAATAAGTACGTTTATATTTGCGTGTAAAAAGAATTATCTTATGATTTTATCTTTCTGACAAAGCCAGGCATAATTAACGAATAAATTGTTCCCTTTGTTTATCATCGTTTTATGTTTTTACGGACATCGACGCAATAAACTGCAACTGTTTGTACCATTTGGTGGTACAAAACGTAGAGCAGCAAAGGCTTGAAGCATTCTACGCGATGATACTAAACCAGTATCGTGCCACAAATTGACCGTAAAATGCAGAACACACTCCCAGTGCCAAGAGTTGAATCCAACCGCAAAAAGAGCTAAAATACGTACTCGTCTTCCATCATCGGCCCAACCTTGCTACAATCTCTTCCATAACCATCGTAATTCGTTTTATCGATACAAACCAGAAGGTAGCTGCGGGATTTCTGAATCCCATAAACGAATTATCTCGTAAAACACAAGAGTCGATGTAAAACGTTATCAACGATATTTCGCAGACTTTACGACGGTTGTTTCATCGCAACCCTTTTTCTCTCTCGAATGAAATTTGTTTTTTAGTTCGCTACGAGTGAAAATTCTTTCTTTTTTTTTTTCCTTTATTTTTTTGAATTTTTCTTAAATTATTCTCGTATCAATAATTGAATATCGATTTTAAACGGTATTAATCTTTGATGGTAGGAATAGTAAGAGAGAAAATTATAACGAGAAATATTGTGCGTTACAATAAATTGATGATTTCTTTTGTTAAAAGTCATCACTTATATTATGTTATATTTAATAGTTGGCAAGATTTATAATAAACGAGAGAGATATGAAAAATTCAATTATATCAAGAATAGATAGATACAAATATTTTATCTCGTTGAGTTTGTTTTCAATAAATTATAATCGCAGGAATTATTCACAATTCGAGTGTATAATTGCAATTGATTAATTAACAAATTTACTTAGATAATGAAACAGATGTATCGGTGGATATCTCTGATTCTTTCTCATCGACTCTTTTTTAAAAGGAGTATTGAAAAAAAAATTTGGACTCGAAAGAAATAAAATATTAAAAGCACAAAGTATCAAGCACAGGTTTTAACGCTCAGAGTGGAGAGTAATCTATTTTTCACGTAAAAAAATAAAAAAGAAAAAAGAATTATCTTTTGTTTTGTATAAAACAATAATTCAATTTTACTCCTTTAATATATCCTTTTATACATAATACAGTTTTAAATGTTTAAAAGCGGAAATCTCATCTTCGACGACAAAAAGCTGCAAAAAAATAATTCCCACTCCGACAATAAACCATTTTTATGCATATTTCACCGCGTTCCGCTCTCTTAAAAGTACACTTTCGATCTTTGCGACACGCTTAACCTTGACGATGAAATGAAATATCGTTTGCAAAACGCCATTTACCCATTTACCCACAAATTCCCCACCCCTCAAGGGGGGGAATAAAAAACGATGGGGTTAAATTATTTATTCTATCGAGCGATTGTTCGACATGTCGAGTGATATCGTAGTAGAATCGTGAAAGGATACAAGGTTAACCGCGCTTTGAAACCAGAAACGAGGAACGATACCAGTGAGTCGTGTAAATAATGCAACTTATCTACGCTTCCCCACGCATTTTTGTATCGCAGCATTAAGTAATCCCGTATCAGAGTGTGTCAAAGTGGCGTCTCATCGATGCGGAAATAAGATGTCGAGATGATTTATCGGTATACATGGTTACACGTAATTTAACTTTTTTTTTTTTCATCCTTTTTCCATTTTTTCTTTCTTTTCTTTTCCCTTTCCCCAATATTTAAAAGTTTCAACTTTGTAACTTTTAACTGATAAAAGATTAAATATAGTACATATAATTTTAATCTTTTCAATTAAAATTTCTAACTTTATACCTTCGTTATGATTAACTTTCCAATTTTTATATTTATATTTTAATAACCATTTATCGTATTTGTATCAAGGATTGAAATTGTATTCTTCTAATTCTTCGAAAATCGTAAAAAATCGTAAAAAGCATATCTGAAATTTGAAAATTCTTAATATCGAGATAAGAGATTTAATTTAATCATTACGAAAATAGAAAATCATCTTCTTTACGGATAATCGATCGAGGAATTTTCTGCCAACAGTTGTTCATGATCGATAACTGCGCGGACGATTGGCGGATCGCGATGACCTGGCAGAGGATCGCGCAGATTTCGCTCGAGTTGTTAATCTGTGCGATCCACCCGATCCCAGGGGAGTATTACTTCCTATGGACGACCAAGCTGGCGAACAAGGGCGGTGACTTCGGCTCGACGTGGGTGCCATACGACGTCACCCTCTCGCTGCCGATGTTCTTCAGACTCTACCTCATCTGTCGCGTTATGCTGCTCCACTCGAAGCTGTTCACCGACGCGTCGTCGCGCAGCATAGGGGCCTTGAATCGTATTAACTTCAACACCAGATTCGTCCTTAAGACACTGATGACCATCTGCCCGGGCACCGTGTTGCTAGTCTTCATGGTCTCGTTATGGATCATCGCCTCGTGGACGTTACGCCAGTGCGAGAGGTAAGAAATACCTCGATTTATGAAATTAATAAATATTTATGATCAATTTATACAAAGATTATATATTTTTATTACAATTTTAATGCAATATAAGTGACAAAGTATTTTAAACTTTAAGTTAAGTTAAATAATTGATTTAATAGATATTGGAATTGTAAATTAATCAGTGAGGAACGATTTTAGTATAATTTATAATACTTTAAAATTTCACACGACAATACATACATTGTAAAGAAACAAAGTATTTACAAAATATTTTTCAAAATGAATTCCAAATATTCAATGAAATAACAAACAAAAGAACCGAATCGAATCATTAGTTTAGAAATTAATCCACCAAATAACATAATTAATCACATTGATAAATTTTTTCACGAATTGACGATACCTGCAAAAGTTATAAGACAAAGCATTTTAACTACGCTACATTATCCATTAATATATAGAATACGAGTTAGTAACAAGTGCACGAGTTAATTAATCAATAAACACAGATCCAGTACACACTTCGACCATCTATAAATAATGCACGAACATCCCTCGATCTCGTGCGATAAACACGGGGCAAACACGTAGATCCTTGTGACGAGATCAATGTTCGAAGAGCCGAGAGGATGGAACGTGGGGGCGGTTGTTAAAACGACAATGAAGGATTTACTGCGGGCGTCGAGATTGCCGGCCCTCCTATAATTAAATTCTCTTGTAAATAGCGGGGCCGATTTAGGGAATCGTAAAGGCCATCGAAACGATCAATCTTCGGGGCCAATATAAGATTCCCGGCCCATCTTTCGCGCGGCCAAGCGCGAAACCTGCACATTTTTCCCTTTCTCTCCCATTTTTGCTCTCGACAAAAGCTCTCGTTCGCCTCTCCCTCTTTTTCTCCCTCGTCGATGAATAGATCCCTTCCGCTCCTCCGCCATTAAATAAGACGACCATTCTTTTCTCTTTCTCTCTCTATCTTAGTGTTAAAAGAAGAAAAGGAGGAGTAAGTTTCGTCCACGTAGAGAGTATTGTCGAAGCTCTTTTCGATATTCACAGCTTGAGAGAGAGAGAGACTCTTCTTGATTATCCCTCATGTTAGGATCTTTTGAGGATTTATGGCAGTGTGTAAGAGGAAAATCTGTGTGATCGAGGAACTTGTCAACAAGTTAGGTTAGATTGGGTTGGAAATCTATTGGAAAAGATGCTTAAAGTCAATTTGTGAATTTGATTTGTTTAAAGCGAGAATTATATTGAATAAAATTTTCTAAGTTAAGTTAAGTTGAAAAATTTTCTTAAAAAGACAAAATTGGAAAATCTTATGATCCCAAGGGAATACGATAAATTATGCATATTTGTTTATTAAATTCTTCTTAGAGAAGAGAGATATACAAATTAAAGAACATTTTCGTGTAACCATTGCTATCATTTGACGCCACTTATTCCTTCATTCCCGGTTGTTCCGTTTCCCCAAAGCCCCAGTTTCTCTCGGAATTAGAATTTTAGACACGAGTTCGAACGTGCGCTTTCTCGAGGGAAAGGAATGCTTCCCTCGAGAGCAAGCGATTCGCGTGTGAAGAGAGCTCAACCGGAAACTCCCGGCACCTCCTTATTTCCGTGCATGGAAAATGGCGATAGATTCGCATTCGTATTTTATCCGTAAGAACACCGAAGGAGCGGTTGTAAAATTTCCAAGAGCATCGGAAGAAGACACGAGCAATTAGAGATTTCGAAATTGATATTCAAATTTTCTCAAATTAATATAATTTGATTTTTGCGAGACAAGAAACAAATAAAACTAACTTCTCTTCGAATTTCCTTAAAAATTACGATAATTAGATATCGTTCTCAATATTTTCGCACATTTGAAATGAGAGGGATTGGATCGATTACTCTCCAAACATCAGGAGGTAGATTTTCGTCGTTTCGAATCTCAAACTACAATATTATCGTTTCTTTCCCAGGGATCTAATCCTGCCTTTCCTCCACCTCGTTTTACGGTATCAACTGTCTTATCTAACCACCTTTAACGCCCTTCGATGCTTTTAACGATGTGAGACGTTACGGCCAATAGTCCACCACCTCTGATTCACCTTTTTCAAGCCTTCGAGGATTATCCCTTTATTTTTTTTTAAGCCGCTAGATTACACGCCTTTATCGTCGTGTTTTTATGGATGATTCTTGACTTTCTCAAATGATATATTATTCCTCGAATAATTTTTATTTTATGAACGAGGTGGCGAGGGGATTTAATATTGTTGGGGGAGCATTTGATAGCGATATGAAACCGTTAATACCGATATATACAAGCAAAAAAGAAATAAAAGAAGTTATCAAAAGTGTCTTTCTCCCCCGAGATTGGAAAAAGAAAAGGAACGTGATAAGATATTAATATTCTGGTTAATGCCAAGACCATAGAAAAAATTATCAAAAATGTGATTAAGAAAAATTTGACTCGTACTCGTTGCATTACAATTCGTTTTAGAATTTACGATTGTATTTTATCTTAATAGAGATTCGATTCACGTTCCTTAACTTTTTTTTCTTTTTTTTTTTTTTTGGTTAGTTTCAAGAAGAAGTTTCAACCGTTCATTTCCTTTCTTGAGAGGGAAGATTTATCGAGAGGGTAAAACTTGGGTCGTTTTCGAAAATTCCGACCAGAGTTCCGCCACTTTTCGTTTCGATCGTTCCAATTATTTCGAGAGAAAGCCGCACTTTCAGCGGAAACACCGCGCGACGTAACTGAATTACAAGCCTTAATACCGACAGTTAATTGAAAAAGGTTGCGCCAATTGATAAAACGAAACGGCCGAAATTACTTTTAATGGCGTTTAAACTCGTTACGTCGGATAATCTGGAAAAATCGCGGACACCGAGAATTTGAAAAATTGGAGAAGAAAGAAAAGACATTTGATCCGTTAAGTGGAACAGATAGGCTATTACATAGATTGAAAATATATTAGGCTACTGCGTATATATAAAATATCTCGATAACAAAAGTTAAAATAAAATTCAATTGTAAAAATGTAATGCGTTCTCCCTAAACAAATTGAAATTATTAAACTCGACGTTAATTGAATCTTTATTAATTGAATCTTGATTAAATTTATCCATATTTCAAATGAACTTAAATGCGATAACACAACTTGCATAATCGTAAGAGCACAATAGCTTCTTGTAAACGCATTCTCCAGCTTTCTATCGTACATAATTATTATTTACTCCTAATGATAAAAACCTTCTTTTATCATTCTCCAAAACAACGATCCAATGAACAAATTAACGACGAATGAAATTAAAATGCAACGAACCGTGATACATCAAACAAGATCAAGGCACCGAATATCGAGAGCCCGGGAGAATTCGATTCGGACAAAATCAACAGGATCAGAGGCTTCTGACGAGTTGTAAAAGAGATCTCTCGTCCTAAAAGGAATCTCCTGTAACACTATCTGTCCTATTAGGCGGCTCGATTTAACGAACAGGATTATTAGCCTGTGCGAATGTTATTTCAATGTATCGGCTGGTTAACGATTTCCGATAATGAATTTCGCTGAACGTCGAAGAAAGAGCTCTTATTCCACGGTGCACGCATTTATTACGAATCCAAAGCGAAATTCAAAGCGAGAATGTCGTCAGAACTCGAAGACTACTCGTTATCGACTTTGCAAATATTCTGTGAGCAAGTTGTGATGCATTTCGTGCGATCACTTTTTAATCGAAATGCTCTTGCGATGCAAATTATGCGTGTGCATTGTCTGGATTTAACAGTTGGATTAAACAATTAATTTGGATTAATTTTATCAAACATTTTTTACCGTGTATGAAAATATTGCGTATTAATGCCTCGACGAATTATAAATGTATCTTGAAATGTGTACGTGTGCACCGACAATAAGAGAAAATTGCAGAGAGGAACAATTTATCAAACAACTGTAAGAAAGAGACGCAAGAGAAAGTAGATTAAGACCATCTGTGGTCAGACGCTCCTCGCAGATGCTCTCTTGTGAGACTTTAATAATTACTACAGCTTTCACGGCTATTATATGTTTCTCCTACACAATCTACATTACACAAGCTTTACACATGTTGGAAAATATGTTTTTAAAACTGTCCACCCATTAACAACAAAAAAAACTTAAAAAATTATTCAAACTCGTTCACTTCGTGTTTAATGAATGAATTCCACGACAAGTAATTTTCGTTTCTCAGTAAAATTCAAATGAATCATCATTTAATTATCTTATCCAAATAAATTCTTATCTAAAGAGCAATTAAACGAGTTTTCCCAAAGATTCTTAATCAGACACAGGAAGTACACATTCAGTTAATTATCTTTTATCTCGCTAAGAAATTTATAGGTTTACTTATATCTTGATAATAGCCTGTTGGATATCAACTAATATTTTATCCTGTTTTCCGTTGTGCGGCGGCAGGTTTCACGACGAGGAGCACGCGAATCTCCTTAATGCTATGTGGCTCATTGCTATCACGTTTCTGAGCGTCGGTTTCGGTGACATCGTGCCCAACACGTATTGCGGTCGAGGTATAGCCGTTTCCACTGGAATAATGGTAAGATTAAGATGCAACGTTTAATATAGAAATTCTCGCGTGACTTGCATGCACCTTTCGTATTCCTTGGACAAAAAGAAAACATTTATTGTACATTTTTCTCCCAAAATCTTTCACTATTTTATTTTTGAACAATGAATTTAACGCATAAAAATATTCACTCGATCATTGAGAATATAAATCATCAAAAATTCTGAATATTTGATCCTAACAATTTTTCGACGTTTCACGATTTTTTGTATCATATATCGAAAATATCTACACATCAATATTATTTTTACAAAAATTCGATTCTTCGAATTTAGATCTAAGATTTAATTTTGAATCTTTCATGACAATTATGATAAAAAGATGAATCCGTAAATCCTTTCTTCAAATAGATCTGATAAAAAATTCAGTAGGACGATACAGAGAGGGAAATCGAGTATTATCGATCGCAGCATCGCGCCAAGTGTAGTTACGATGCATTCGAAACGACACTTCGTGACAATAAACGCGACACCGAGTCTAATCTCTCCATTGGGACTGGTTCCTTATTGTTACTGCACTCCGTGTCCAATACTAATTCACCTATTTCGAAGCTTCGTAACCTGCGAATCGTTAATCAATTTGATCGTTATGGTCAATTTTCCATGAAATTTCCCGTGACAAACGTATCCGTCCGCCAGATAATCCACAAATGCTCGCATTTATCGCTTTGATTCTCGTAATGGATGATTCTTCCGAATTAATCTGGTCCAAAGACAATTATACAGCTGTATTCGTAGAAAGCAGTATAGTCTTTGGAAAATAATTATCACAATTGGTTTTATACGAAATTCTGATTTCTGAATCGACTATTCTTTAATGGGTGATGATTTTGAGTGATTTTTAATTGAAATTTTTTGCAAGAATTTGCAATCTTTATTATTTTTATTATCATATTCTTTTTATTATGGTTCCAATATTCTGCTATTAACACCGATAGATATAAGAAGAAAACTCTTTTGAATATTGCAAAAAGAAGGAGTTGAAAAAATTGATTCAGAAGAATTATCTTTTATGAGAATCGACCAGACTACGATTCTATTTCTATTTCATAATAAAAATTTCATTGATTAATCTCATTTGTATCACATCTGCATTCCCCTGATAAAAACATTAGATTAATCTAATAAAATAGAATAAGAGAATTAGTTATATAATCAGATATAATTCCAAATTGTGAAAAGAATCTAACGATAAATCTAATGATAAAAAAATCGTGTTTTGAATATCTTATTAAGAAACTACTTGGCAAAATTTTTTACTAGAGTACAGAGGGATGAAGATCTTCTTTCGCGACGTAAAATAAACTTTGGCAGAAAGTAGCTTCGAACGTGAGACACGTGACATCCGATGAGTCGTGAAATTTCATCCACTTACGTGTGTAAAATCTGTTTCACGAAGAAGTTTCCCTTGGCTCGAGAATCAGTCACTTTGGAAACTTTCTATTGGATAAAAAAAAAGAAAATCCATCGAATGTTACTATTGGCTTTAGTTAGCGAATAGTGACGAAATGCCCGAGGGAAAGACTTTAAAACTCGGTTTACTTTGAACCTTTTTTGCACCCGATGAAATTCCGCGGTGAAAATACGTCGCCCACTCCAAGTAATTTTCTGAGAGTAGTTTTTTTTTTTTATATATTGAAAATATAGCGCTATGAAATTGTCCTGAAAGAAAGAATGTAAGCAATTAACATGTAATTTTAAATTGTTAGACGTTGAAAAGATAAAGGAAATATATTCAATAGAAGATTTATATTGGCAAATGATGGAGCAGCATGTTAATTTCCTGATTTAAATCCATTTTCTATTGTGAAAAATTAATTATCGATGTGAAATTATACAAGTACAAATATTTCAAATGATAATTTGATTATTGATTAAATAATGAAACGAAAAATAATTGAAGCTATCCTTCTTACTTTCTACTTGACACATTCTTAAATTTTAATGTATCAAAAATTTTATTTCGCAATAATATTAGAAAGAAAAAACAAACATTCTTCTTCGCCCATTCTTCAGATAGTTTAATTTTAATTTAAAATGAATTTCCAAATTTTTGAAAAAAACTTTCAACAATAATAATAATAAAAATCGATAAGATGCTAATTTAGACAAATTTAAAAGAGGTGGGAAAAACATGCATATATATATTCTGCTTTTCGTTTACTTTATCCTTATTATTTTCCCTTGAATAGAGGCTACGAAGATTTAGTTAAATTAATTTGTAATCATTAGGGATGCTAGTTTCGCAATTAAACGTAGAATGAATAGTTTCCAGTTCACAGGTACGTTTGACGGTGTTTTTAGGGCGCCGGATGCACGGCCTTGCTTGTGGCGGTTGTTTCCCGGAAGCTCGAACTCACCAGGGCGGAGAAGCACGTTCACAACTTTATGATGGATACGCAATTAACGAAAAGGGTAAGACGCAATCTGCTCGTATATCTTGCGTAGGATTGTTCTCCTAGACGTTAAATACCTGTCTCGATGCCTTCTCCAACGTTGAATAATAATCCGGAGACAAGTCAACAATGTGTTGGCTGTTATTATCGTTGACAGCAAGATACAATTGATGTTGTATCTTGTGGCTTCCATGGCTCGTATTTAATGAGTAATTAACGTTGAAATTTTATTTAATTGTTTATCCTTCGTATTAATTATCCATTCGTTCGTTTATTATTTATTCAATTTAAATTTTTCACTCCTTAAATCTAATTTAATTCATTATTAATTATTTATATCACGATTATTTGGAGATTTGAAAGAATGGTACAATAAAATATTCTCCAATGACAATTAATTTCATCTTATCTTAACTTCTATAGATGATGAAAAGCGACTAGAACAAACGACTCTTGACATTTTTCTCATTAACACCGATCTTGATCAAACTAATATCGTTCGCTATATTTATTCCATCCTTGTGATGGAAAAAATTTCGAATAAAAAATGAATGAATAAGAAATAAAATTGACTTACAATAAAACTGATTACCCTGTATATCATCATCAATACATCAAATTTATTCTTTTTATCTTCTTATCCCTTATTCGAAATAAAAATTCAACCTAGAATATGAATTCGTCGACCGATACGAATGTCTGCCAACAAGAGAGGCTCGCGTTTCCTACTTGGACGCGAAACGAGCAGTTCATTGTGTGTGTGTCATTGTCATTTTTGTCCATTCTTGATGGTCAGAATATCGCGATCGATCGGTCAACACGCCATACGACGTTCCTCGTACAAGGAAATCGCATCTTAAAAGGCAAAGACTGCATTCGACCTTGCTTGCCAGCCATTAGAGAAGATAGACGTGAAAAATGAAGAAGAGAAAGAAAAATGACGGAGGTTAGAAACTCTCAGACCTCTTTTTCGACTAACCTGCATGATCGATCCGCGTTCCTCGAAGGGAGAGGACATTTCGCCTCGTTCATGTCAATATAATCGATGGATTGAACGTTGTCGAGTTTTCAGGGAAGATTTTGAGACTTCGACGAGCCAATATCTCGTTTATGAAGTATTCAATTTCATCGCAATCGAGATACAGCATGTGAACGACAGACATCAGTGTTTGGCTCTGGATCGAAAATCACAATGAATCACAACTAACTTGGTGATATGTGGAAATACGAAAGAGTACTGGCAATAAGGATGGTTACGTGTTATGTCTGTCAATTCAGCTGAAAGGAAAATTTACGATTTAAACGAAATTCATGTTCTAAGTATACGTAAAATCATTGTTTTCGCGATAGCTCGTTCCTAGATTCGCCATTAGTTGAGATAAATAACTTTTTCGATCGTTCAAACGATTATTGGACGTTCGAGATTGCCAACCTATTTTATCGCGAATTCGAGAAATTGGAATTCTTGTTCAATTAACGACGAGTGAAATTGGTTGCAGAAAGTATACAACGTTCTTTTTACAAGCCTCTATTTTTTTAATTTCGACAAAGATAAAATATATCGGCGGCAATTAGAAATTTAATGAATCTTAATTTCATTCGATGGATCATTTAATTAAGCTTCGAAATCGTGTAATATATAAATAGGTGCTATGCGAATGATTAAAAGAATTATAACTTAGCGAATGGTATTAGCTCGTTGTAGTTGTATAAGTAATACAAGTCAATTGTTGTCGAATGTTTAATATAGATTAAGATCAGCAATTCGATCAATGCTAAAATAAAATTAGAATAAGAGTATAAGAATTAAAATCATTTTTTTTTGTATATTAATTTATTAATTTATGAAATATTTTTGTAGCAATAATTTCCATTCCGCTATTCGATATCTATCGATCTTTCAATTTTATAATAAATATTCACATTAATTCGATGAGTCAAATAAAATAAAACGAACGATTATCATTTACGAAATCGAATGGAAATTATTTAGAAAAATGAATATATTTCCCATAAATTTATCAAAATCGAACACCAAGGCATTAAAGTCATACCTATTCGTCAAACAGGAGTAACGAGATCTGTTCTGTTCCAGTTGAAGAACGCTGCAGCGAACGTGTTACGCGAGACGTGGCTAATTTACAAGCACACTCGGCTGGTGAAGCGTGTCAATCCGGGACGTGTTCGAACGCATCAGCGGAAATTTCTATTGGCTATATACGCGTAAGTCGATGTACACGCGACATATTTTGATTGACATTCCCTATATAACAGAGAAGAACGATTATAATTCCCGCGTACACCAACTTTTCAGGCTGAGGAAAGTCAAAATGGATCAGCGAAAATTAATGGACAATGCCAACACCATCACGGATATGGCCAAGGTACCAGCACGCAAGTAACTTAAAATTCAATTAAACTTCCTTGGCCCCGCTTTCGTCGATGAATTCTATCGTTGCCGATCTGCCAGCTTTTGTACAACAAATCAAACAAACTCTTCGTTTCGCGATCTCTATCCTCCACCGTGAAAAACATTGTTTCCCATTGGCTCGTAACGACACAATCTATTCCAGGTTGTTGTTCGTTAATCCTCCATTCATGCAACTTTTCAATTGTTCCCTACATCGCGAGTCCTGCGAGTGCCTGTTACGGTGATTCTGATCGCTCAAGATTGTTGAACTGGTTTTTCTCTATTGCATGGACTCGTGACAAAACCAATATTCTCGATGCTCGACTTAAAAAGAACAAAAGTTATCTTTTCTTTTACTTTCGATCAATATTGCTTCGTAATTTTAAAATCGGATAATATGATGCGGTATGGAAATCATTTTTAAAATTCACGAGAAATTAATATTCACCTTAGATTAATTAAAAACAAAATATTGTCAAAATATTACCAACAAATCTACTCTCCAACAATATCAAAATCATCTCACATAATTAAAATCTATAAAACTAATCATTCCTCAAATAAAAACGCAATGTATGTAAATCGTATGAAACACAATCTTCAAAATATTATCTAGATAAATCTAGCCTTCTGCATTTTCGTATTCAATCCATATAATATTTCTATAACTGCAATACAAACTTAATCGCTTAATCGTTCTCCAAACAGACGCAGAACACAGTGTACGAGATCGTGTCAGACATGAGCACGCGCCAGGACGCACTGGAGGAACGTTTGGGGGGCATGGAGGATCGGCTGATGAACTTGGAAGAGAAACTGACCGGGTTGCAGGCTCAGCTCGAGCTGCTGCCCGAGGAGTTGACCAGGTGTCTGGCCCAACACGCCGAGCGTATGGAGCAGAGGCGGAACTTCCTTCACCCCGACACCGCTGTCGCGATGGCGTCGACGGGCGGCGGCGGCGGCGGCGGTGGTGGTGGCGGTGCATCAACCGGGAACAGCCTGACGATGGGCATCTCAGTTTCGGCCCATCACCCTCTGGCCAATCTGTCGAACTCGCTGCCACACTCGAGGAGCGTGCCAAGCGCGCCCAGCACCACGTCCCTTCACCCTTGGCCGGCCAATTCGATCCTGCCGCCAGTCTCGAGTCGTACGCCACACTTGGTGCCCGAAACCGGAAGGCATCACAGCCTGGCACATTCCACGGTGGCCACGACCACGACCTCGCAGTCGGCCACCAGACTCACCTCGCAATCTGGAATGGGAGGGCTGGGCAACAGTCAGGGGTCGGACACGTCTCCACACAGCTGAGTCTCGTCTTTGCAGCCGCAGCACTCGTATTAAAAAGGGACACGGGACCACGGTCCTGTCTCCGTGTCCTGAACGACGCTCGCGTACCATCGAGTCCCTTCACCGCGATAATTGGTTCTCCGAGTCTCTCTTTCTGTCTCTTTCTCTCTCTCTCTTTCTCTCTTTATCCCTATCTATATCTCTTTGTTTCATTTTCTTTCTTTCGTATCCGTGAATCTATCTCTGTCCGTTAAATGATAAACTCTCTCGGGGATAGGAAGCTTCTTCGGGTTCATATTCGGGCTCATACCGAATTCGTTGACCAGTGTTCGCGAACTAGTTTAGGTCTCGCATCCGGTTGATGGTAGTTTTAAGGTCGGCTTGGCTGCGATGGTTACGACGTGCATAATAATTGTTAGATATCACGTGTAATGATATTCACTTTGGTTATCTATTTATATGCGCTAAGAGACCTATTTTCGAGAATCCCTTTGTTCAAGTTTCACGATTTTAAGGGCTGATTGTAGAAAGTGTAGTATAGAAGCGGAGAGACCCAGCGGAGAAATTAACGAGTGTTTCCCCAACTCGCAGACTGCCTAAAGCTCAAGAAACGACACCGTGTACGATGTGTTAAAACGTTTCGATCGTCTGGATCTCTCTCGTAGCGAATTTAAACAACGATTCTTTTCGAGCGATTTTCACCGAGCCAAATAATCAAGCCTCTCAGCCATCGCCGACTGAATCGACTCGCCTACTTTTATAGCCGCGGATAAATTGAAAGTTTTGCAGTAGCATCGACAACGGGTCCAATCCTCTTCCCGATTGATTGTGTCTTCTTACCGAGTAAAAAAAAAAAAAAAAAAAGAACAATTAAGTAAAAAGGGAAACTTGTACACACAAACACATACTCAATACACACACACACACAGAGAGACACGTACACATACACATAGAAGGGAGATCGATCCAATGTGGTGATTAAAAATAAGAAAAAAAAAAAAGAGCGAATACACAATGAACAAACGAGAGGGAGGGACTCACGGACGCGAGCGTCCTCTTCCAAATCGCTGCGAGCTGCTCCCCTGCCCAACTTGCGTGCCTGAAAACTTTTTTCTTAATATTTAAATATATATTCGACACACACACACACACACGAACTCCATCTTATCTCTGTATACCTCGTGAATTAAGA